CTTTTCCACAAATGGTCTGAGACAACTTGATATCTACAAGCAAAATACAAATTTGGACCCCTAGCTTCACACCATACACAAAAACTAACTCAAAGTGGATCATGGACTTAAATGAAAGATCTAAAATTATAAAACTCTTAGAAGAAAATTCAGCAGTAAATCTTTGTGACCTTGGGCTTGGCAATGATTTCTCAGATATGATACCAAAAGCATAAGTCATCAAAAAGAAGACTGGTAAGTCAGACTAAACCAAAATGAAAAACATTTGTACTTCAAAAGACAGCATCAAGAAAGTGAAAAGGCAACCCACAGAGTGAAAGAAAATATTTGCAAATCATGTCTGATAAGGGACTCACACTATATAAAGAACTCTTACAATTCAATAATTGAAAGACAAATGACCTCATTTTAAAATAGGCGAAAGATTTGAATAGACATTTCTCTAAAGAAAATTAGTGAATGTCTAATAAGCATGTGAAAAGATGCTCAACATCATTACTTATTAGTAAAATGCAGATCAAAACCACAATGAGATATTACTTCACATACAAGATGGCTATAATCAAAAAGACGGACCGTAACAAGTGTTGATGAAGATGTGGAGAAATTGGAACCCTCATATCTTACTGGTGGGATAGTAAATTGGAGCAGCTGTTTTGGAAAACAGTTTGACAATTCTTCAAAATGTTACACATAGAGTTAGCATATGGCCAAGCAACTCCAATCCTAGCTATATACTCAAGAGAAATTAAAACATATATCCACACAAAGACTTGTACACTAATGTTCTAGCAGCATTATATTCACAGTAGCAAAAAAAGTGGAAACAATCCCAGTGTCCTTCAACTGATAAATGGATAAATAAAATGTGGTATAGCCATATGATGGAACATTATTCCGTCAGAGAAAGGAATGAAATACTGACACATGATACATACTATATCAAAAACATGCTAAGCAAAGAAAGTCACACATATATGTATTGTATAATACCATTTATTTTAAATATTCAGAATAGGCAAATCTGTAGAGAGAAAAAGCATAGAAATATAAATAAATAAAAATAAACTAAAACATTAAAAAAAATTTCTTTTTAAGTAAATTCATGGTTGCCTAAGTCTGGGAGGTGGGAATGGAGAATGCGGGGAAGATAAAGCACTACTAACCAGTACAAAGTTTCTTTTGGGGGTGATGAAAATGTTCTAAAATTGTATCAAGATTATGGTTTTACAACTCTGTATATATGTTAAAACCACTGAATTGTACACTTTAAGCAGGTAAACATAATGGTACATAATTATGTCTCAATAAAAGTGTTTAAAAATATAAAGGAGTGACCATATAATTTATCATCCAAACCAGGACACCTTTGAAGGTGCTAAACATGATAAACTAGACAGGACCCCAGGACAGCAGGTTTAAACCTAGACCACTCTTGGCAAATGGGGCACAGGGTCAGTCTAACTTTACTAACTGCCTGGAAATAGAATGTGTGGAGGGGAAAGAGAGGAAAAAAGGCTAGAAAAGTAGAACAAGACCAGACTAGGGAGAGCCTTGAATGTCATGCTAAGGCATGTGGTCAGAGAAAAAAGATAATTTTAGCAACAGTACAAAGGATTAATTGTAGGAGTATAAAAAACTGGGCATAAAACTAGTAAGAGGATTTTTCCATAGTCAAGATTAAGAGATGGTAAGCATCTAAATTAGGACATGGGCTGTAGGGATGACAAGAAATGGACAGATTTAGGAAATACTTTGGGTTTGAAAGTTTAAAAGCATTTCCTAAAGGAAGTTAAAAAAAAATCTTCAGTAATAGCAGCATCCCTGAAATAAGTATAAAGAGCTCCAAGTCATTACTATATAACAACACATTATGTTCTGTCTCCTACAAACGCTGCACGTGTGCTGGACCAGACAGATGCAGCCCAGGGCGTGCACCCTGAATGTACTCACTGCTTTACAAAGTGGTTTTATGTTTAAAAACTGACCTACTCTGTTCCTGTTTCTCCTATAAGAAAAATGAAGGAAAAGCAGGTAAACAGTGATCCAATTTGGGGGAGTTGGGATGGTTTTTTTGTTTGTTTGTTTTTTGTTTTTGTTGATTGACGGCGGTTTACAACAGCTGTCTCAGGCAGTTTAAAAATTATACTGCATGGAAGTTGAAGTGGGAGTGACTGGACTTCCGTGGCTATGGTTACTTTTTAAAAACTACATCTATTTTTGTAAAACTAACCAGTTTAAAAATTAAATGACTTCATGATAATGTCAACCAACGTTCATCATCCTTGTACGCTATCAGTACCTTCGCCTGAAATACACTGTAGCTGGGGGCTCATGTAAGTGGCTTGAACAAACTTAAAGCACACTTTACATCAGATCACCTGAGTACTTATTAATTGAAGGCCAGAGGATATGAGTAAAAATTATTAACTACTCCCCTGGCAGATAGGGATCAGGAGCTAGAGAACTGGAAAGAAAAAGACTCAGAAGAGAAATCAATGAACCAAATCATCTCCCCGCTTCCAACTTCAGGGCTATGGAATGAAATCTTTGCCCCAGGGGCTCATAAACTCCTTTGCTTAAATTAGAAAGTTTAGCGTCTATTCCCAGCAAGAAAAAAAGAAAAAGAAAAAAAGACACCAGAGACTTAAAATAAGCAAGTCAAAAACCAAAATGTCTATGATTTTCATTTTAATCCCGTAATACAAACGAGAGGATGAGAAAGGCTGACCGTACGGTGAACACTAAGCCCGGACTCCTCCAAGGTTACGGCCCTCCCTTTATAACGGGGTTTCGGGCAGCGCGCAGCATCTTGCGCTAGATAAACAATACAAGATTAAGCACGTAAAACGCTCGAATGGTTTGTGTAAAATTTATGGATGTTTAGAAGGTCCCACAAAATAAATTTTCAGACCAACTGAGCTAAAGATGTATTTCCCTCTTGCCAGATGAGGGTATAAGGAGTTTGTGGAAATAGGATGGTGGCCAGCTGTTTTTACATCTCCACCAAGAAAATAGGCTGAATTTGTTTTCAAGTACTAGGATTGGACAAGGGAAAGAATTTTCCACCCATATTATTCCATCTGACATTCAAACAGTACATGGAAGACATGGCCTATCTCCCTAAAGAGGTTTAAAGGACAAGTATGTTGGCTTGCTGGCTGGGTCATCTATTCATGGGAAGAGAGGCGCATATAATGACATGAGAAACCTGAGTCTATGAAGACTGTCATGAGGAAGTAGAATGATTAACTTTAAAATGTGGCTGTCACTTGAGGCCAGTTTTTGATGCGGTTTTTATGTTATCTGATTACTCTTAAACTAGCAACTAACCAACTTCATAATGGGAAGAAAATGAGGAAGAGTTCTGTTTCCTCAAAATGAATTTTCAGATAACTACTCCAATTATAACTCTAACTGGATTTTTGCATTAAAAATCGGTAAGACACTGGATCCCAAAATGTACTTAGAAAACTAAACATAGACAAAACCCCGACAATATTCTGGTGAAAAAAAAGTGTCTGAGGAAGTCTAAACTGGTGTGTTACTGATGCTGGAACGGATACGTAAATCCAGAGCACGCAACGGAAAGCCGAAACCACATCCAACTACTTGAAAGAATGTACTATTTGACAGAGTAAGCTCCTCACACAAGGGAGTAAGGAAGGATTTTCTTTTTAATGTTGGAATAAATAGATACCAAGTAAGGAAAAAGTCATTTAGATCCAAACCTCATCCCACATGACAAGATAATCTTTCGATGAATTTATACATTCATTTAACAAATGACATGGAAAGAGGGGAAGGTATAGCCCTTCGGTAGAGCACAGGCATAGGATGAACAAGGTCCTGGGCTCAATGCCCAGTGCCTCCATTAAAATAAATGAGTAAATAAATAAACCTAATCACCCCCCCAAAAAAATAAAAAATTAAAAAACAAAAAAAAAATAATAAATGACACCAAGGGCCAACTCTATGCTGAATGTGCAGAAATGAAAGACCCAGTCCCTGTCTTTAAGGTGCTCTCAGTCTGATGGGGAGAAGGGTTAAGTAAACAGAAAATTATAAAACAATTTGACAGATAGAGGGATGTTCAAATTGCCCATTCCGCTGATGGATAGGTAGAGCTTAGCTAGGCAATGGTAGAGCAGCATTGAGGAGGCTAGATTATTCCCAAATTCCAAGTCCTCTGTGACTGGAGCACCAAGGGTGTGCACTGAGTGGGCGAGGAAGAGTAGTGGCAGGAGCAGGAGGAGAGGAGGGGGCGCGGCAGGAGACTCTGGGGCGAGAGTCAGCAGACAGACCGCAAAGGGAGCTTCCAGTCTATGAATCAGAACTGTATCTTGAAACCTATGGGGGTACAGGGAAGGATTTTAAGATAAGGAAGCGGCGTGATCCGATATGTGGTGTAGAGAGCTCACTTCCCAGCAGTGTGCCAGAGGGTTTCCGCAGAGAAGAACAAGTATTTGCCATGAGATCAGTTGGAAGGGCACCGGCAGTTTTTCCAGGAGGAAGGGAGGGGAGCCTACATCACAGCAGGGCAGCAGAGAAGGAGATGAGGAAGCCAGGAGTTACTTAGGGAGGAAACTTGATAGGCTCGAGTTACCACATCTCTAGCATTTTAGGTTGAGCTAAAACAGAGGCACTATTCGTCAGAAAAAGAAAATTTAGGTGGAGGTGGGTTTGGGAGTGAAAGGTGATAAATGCAGTTCTGGACACACTGAGTTTGAATAGCTGCGGGACATCCAAGAGGGGAGGTCCATTTACAATCCTTGTTTCTGTGCATTTGAGAGTCATCAGTAATATGAGCGATAGTCATTTATATATTATATTCATTTAAATATAAATCTATGATGAATACCTACTACATTCTGGACTCTGTTCTAGGCTCTGGGGGGACAGCAAAAACCCAAGCAGACAAAGGCCCTGCTCCAACATGGCCCACATTCTAATGGCATGGGTGAGACAAGGGTGGAGAGACCTACAATTATCAACTAAATATATGTTAGTTATAAAACATCTGTAAAGTAAGATAAACTAAATTAAGAGTCTAGAGAGTGACTGAGTACAGGTACAGGGTCAGGATAGATGAGGTAAGCAGGATGCCCAGAGTACCAACTATAAGGAGGCACACGGTCTCAGATGCTGATCTGAACTTACCTCCTTAAACTGTGTGCCCTGGGCGCCTCGCTTGCCTTACCCTAGTCCCGACCCTGACTGGGTACCTGCTATTTTCTATGGATAACCAGGGAAGCTTCATTTGAAAGTTGACAATTTGAGTAGAGAACTAAATAAAGAAATAAGTCAGGTATCCCCATCTCTGGGGAAAGAACACTGTAAGCAGAGAAAACCATGAGCAAAGGCCCTGAGGCAGGAAGACACAGTGTGTTGACGAAAAAGGTCTCCCAGAAATCTCACCAAGGACAATGTACAGAAGAGGTGAGAACCAAAGACAGAACCCCCAAGAGATCACAGTTAACAGATGAGCAAAGGGGCAAAAAGCCTACAAGGAAGAGTGAGAAGGAGAGGCCAGAGAGGTAAGAGAAAAGCCAGGAGAGAGTTCTGTCACCAAAGCCAAGGGAGTTTTTCAAAGAAGAAGCAATCAATACTGTCAACCACTGCAGAGATGGGGTAAGACAGAACACAAATCTTACACCGCTGGCACCTGGGAACATGTCCTGCCTTTAGGAAAAACAGCTTATGACCTGGAGAACTTTCCTAACCTGAGTCCACACCTGAATGGTTCACACCTCTAAACAGTCCTCTTTCTGGTATGGAACGTCACCAGAAGTACTTTCATTCTGGACAAACCCAAGCAATGCAGAAACTAAAAATAATAGTTCAGTTTGAACACCTTCAACCCAGTTGTGATAGTCTTTTAAAAACTGATTCATAACTAAAGCCTGTGAGTTCATGTCCCAGCTGGCCAGTACCTCTACCATAAATAGGGTCAGTTGCTCAAGTGGCCCTTACCTATGAGAATACTCATTCTCTGATCCTCAGCAGAAGCCCAGGTTGACCCCATACAACTCAGCTTGGTTTTAGGAGCATCCTGAGAATTCTTCAGCCAGTCGAATGTGGGTGCCGCCAGTCTCATTCCCCGGGCTAGATGAATGGGTAGCATTTATTAACTGTGAGTGAGCGTGAAGCCGCAGGTTCAAATTGAACCAAACTCTGCTAGTTGGGGTAGTTTCCTTTTAACTGCATTCCAGTGCTCCAGGGAATTTGTGGCTTCACAGTTTCATCACCAAAACTCACTTACCAACCAAAACGAAATGACAAATATCAGTGAGTATGTGGGGTTTCATGGTTTAATCAGAATCAGAGAGGGAGACCATCACTGTAATAATCAAGTCCAACAAAAGGCTCGTTATATAAAATCAAAAGAAAGCCAAGAAACTTAATATGCTCAAGCTCACACCTGCCTGTGGAATAAAAATAATAATAATAATATTGTATTCCACTTTTCACCATTTGGAAGGGAAACCTGTAAAATTTTAAAACTCCAAACATAGCTCTCTTTTACCTTTTGAACTTCTCAACAAATCAGTTTAATGAACAACGCTTAAGCATGTAAAAACACTGACCCTCCCACCCCCACAGTTTTAATGTCTAACAAGATAACTTAAAACCAGCTTAGACAGATTTTTCTTCAAAAAATATGAATTATAAGCCACACCTGCTGGCTGACACCTAATTCTGGCTCTTTCTTGCTCTAAAATGGCCAAGTGAAATAGAAGTGAAGCAGGAATTCATAGTTAAGGGTCAATTCATGGACTTGGGGCTTTGATGAAATAAGGCACTTGGATAAGAAACAGAAGATCCTTGTGCTTGGCCACTTAGAAAGTCTCTTGGTGGCGGCCGAGGTAGCAATTAACTCACAGATCCAGGTGTTATATCTGCATTGTCTGTGTTCTTAGAGAAAGCATGTCAGAACAAATTGAGGGCCACGTGGCAAGTAAGAGACAGAGCCTTTTAAGAAAAATAGAAATGGATTGTGAGCATTTCACGTAGTCAAATGTTTGTGCTAGAATTAGAGACCAAACAGACATCTGTCTCTTCATATAAATGTATTAACATGCCCAAGATTTAAACATCTCAAGATTAAGATATTTCAACTACCTATTTTCCAATGTGTCATCTTCAGCCTACCTCCAAAACCACAAGACACTAATCTGCTTCCTGGGTAATCTGTGCTGAAACGGAAAATTTTCTGATTTTGACCAGTTATCCATTCACATTTTTTTCTTTAATTGATTTGTATTGCCATGGCTTGAAGAGTCTAGCAGGATCATGACTGCCATGTTTCAAACAAAAGCTGGGGCAGGAAAAATAGGTCGTGTGTGGACAGTTGGTCGACCTCCTTTCAGACTGGCTTGGGGTGTGTTGCTGCGTGCGCCCCGAGGCTCGCTGAAAATGGAGTCCTCGGTGTTGGCAGGATAATCAGAAAATCCATCTTGTGACCTGTCAGCATACCCAAGGGCTCTGTGGGCAGAATCTTCCACTTTTCTAAGATAGTGCATATGCGTACATTGCCACAGCCTGATGTTGAACATACTCTAAATTACAGCTGTGGAAGCAGAAACACATGTGCGGCCCGAGCCACAGCATCCTTCCGGCTATGGGAACCCAAGTGGGTCACCCTTCACTGTGCGTCATGGCCCAAGGGGTCAGTGCAAAGTAGCAGAGGACACTGAGAACAGGACATTCTCCCTTTCCCCTAGTTACGCTCGAAGCAACCTGACACCTCTGAATTTGATGTTCAATGGGAAAAAAGAAAAGAGAGAAGGAGGCCTCTGAAAAAGAGATCTTGCAAGACTTTTAAACAAATTTCCCTCTGCTGCTCTCTGCCTCTCTCTGCCTAAGCTCAAAAGACACCACAAAGGTAGGAGGGCTCCTTAGTGTAATGATGGCTTACCAAAACTTAGCAGACTCACTTCCAGCTATTACATCAAAAAAGAGAGCGAGCGAGCCGGGGCGCTTTGGCAAGACCGACCAGACCCATTAGCATCTCTGGTCCCTCCTGGACAATGAAACACGCGGAAATAGCAACAGTTAAAAGAGCGAGACTACCTTAAGTAAATTAAAAAGCGCATTTCCATATTTTTTAAACAAAGGGGTTCTGCACCATCTGTCCCCGTCTGGGTGCCCCCTGCTCCACACTGAGAGGATTTGCAAGGGATTCAAGTGCACCTTATAGATTAAATAGTCACTCGGCTGCTTAAGCCCCGTTGCCCAGACAATGGCCGCGCGGAGCACCCCTTCCTCCTTCCTTCCTGTCGAGTGTTCTGCCTGACTACACAAACTCAATGCGCGCGGCTCCCCCGTTGCAAGAAGTGGACTTGACCGGAGCTAAAACCAACAAAGGCAGATTCTGGTGGGAGCTGCGGAAGCGCCGGGCACTGAGTCAACAGACGGGTTTCATTGAAATGCAAATGGCGCGGCCGCGGCCTCGACGCGCCACCTCCCGCCCCTTAACTTCTCAACCCCCGCGCCGCGCCGGCCTGAATGGGCCCATTGACGCGCCCGCCGTCCCCACCGCCCGGGGGCCTCTGCGGGCGCGGGGAGCCGCCCGGCCGCCCGAGCGCCCCGGCCTCGCGAGCCCTGTCAGCGCCTTAATTTCTGCAGATCGTCATCACCTGGTCCGCATCGTCGTCTCCCTCCCGGACCCAACAGGGTGTCCCTCGCCTTAAACGCAGGTTCGCCCGCCGACTGGCCGAGGAACCCGAAAAATTCCCTGCTCTGCTGCTGAGTTTAAAAACAAACAAACAAAAAAGTTCCAAAGTACCACAGTGGTGGTTACATTTTTTCCGCCCTAAGTATTTACTCACTTAACCTTAAGTGTGTACTCACTTAAATCCTGTCCTCTTGTATCCAGAGAGAACCCGTCTTGATTTTTTTTTCAGGTGCTAGACATTTTTAGCTTAGAAGTAGTTCTCACCGATGGTCCCTAAATGCTGAAGTAAAAACAAATTCCATTTGGTATTTGGTGACTGCCCGCCTTCTCTCCCCATTTCCCTGTGCCGCGTTTTACTTTGACTAGATAATACTATCAGCTTGCTGTTTATTTTGTACTTTCCCTAAGGTCTGAAGTTAACGCGTGCTGTTAAAACAGTACTTAAAAGGGGAAGTAAAGGTAGGTTTTTTCTTTACAGAAATAAAAGGTTAATTCAATTCTTTAAGCAAACTGAGTTACTAACAATAATTTTAAAATGAAGCTAAACAGTACTTAAAGGTCACTTTAAAATACAAGAAAACCTTCTACTGGGTACATATCTGGCTGCTATTTCAGACTTAGTGTAACAGAAAACAAACCTGACTCCATGTTGGGTCTCTTCCTTTAGCGCCAAGGGTCGTGCTCTGTGGCCTGTGCTTAGTCATGCTGCCTCTGCAGCTTTGTGAAACAATGTTGCCTACAGCCTGCAATATGCAGGATAGCCCGTTTTCAAGGCTCTGACCTTAAAGGTGTAACACTTTTCAGTTCATATACAGATAAAAAAAAACTGCAGAACAGGAGAGAGAACAATTGTCTTGTTGGAGGTTTATAGGAGCATGTGACCAGACCTATAGGACAGCTATGGGAACAAAAGATTACTGTACCAAGAAATTTGCAACAACCAGTCACAGCCCTCCTCTCCCTTTTAGTATAAAAGAAGCCTGAATTCTAACCCGGTAAAATGGTTCTTTGGGACACTAGTCCACCCTCTCCTGCTGGCTTTCCGAATCAGACCGCCATTCCTTGCCCCAACACCTCGTCTGTGGATTTCTTGGCCTGTTGTACAGTGGGCAGTAGGAGCTCGGACTTGATAACGTTAGGAAGTAAGGAATGGTAAAACTATAATAAATATAATGAAGTAAGTATTTCTTTTTAAATCCCTCAGTTTTGTAAATTTACCAGAGTGTAATCATATTTGAACATATAATGTGTCATTCACTGAAATACACAGATTATTTTGCTAAAAAGCAACTAAAGGAATATTTACACTCAACCATCTTTGATTTTGCATGAGAAATTTTAAATTATTTGTAAAAGCAAAGTAAACCTTCAATTAGAGAAAAAAATTTTCCTAGTTGACATAGTTTAAAGTAAGAATATTTTATGCTATTTAAGGAAAAAAACTCTTCTGTCCTTTGCCTTTTTGTTGTTGTTTTTGGTAGTGTCTCTTTATCCACCTACCCAGCAAACACACTTTTTGGCCTCAATACTGCATTGAGCTGAGTTGAGTAGATTTAGATGTAAACTGAGCAGAGCTGGATCTACTAGACAAGACACTCAGAATGACACTAATGGCATTTCTTCTGTAGTGGGCATCTGATAGCTCTTTGCCCAGTGTCCATTTTTCCTTAGCATTAGAAACAGCATCTGATTTTCAACCAGAGGACTACTGGTCCTCACTCACAGTCCAGGTGATTCACATCTATGGCTCCAGGGCCACAGCTAATTTATAGGATGCCTTTGTGCAAATTCAAATAATACACACCTTCCTCCAAGCAAATGAAGCCCATGTCCAGCACCAAAAACACCAGGCTTGCCCAGCAAATAGTGGGGGCTGCACTGCCCGGCAGCTGCAGGCTTTGTACAGTCTATACTCAGGCCTCCCTACTTGCAGCAGTACACTCACTCATACTGGCCAGCCAGCCTTTTCAAAGTCTCAGGCCACAGTGAAGAGTTTCAGGAACAGGCATGTGAACTGAGTTGAGCTCATGAAAGTTAGCCTGAGAACTTTAGCTGGAATTTTTAGAAAAGAGGCATTCTTGCTTTGCAGTGGAGTGTGACTAAATGGTGGCATATAGACTTGGAGCTGCACTTGACTATCACCATCATCCAGGAGGAAAAGTCAGCCTAAGGCTCAAGAAATAGAAGCAGATTTGGAGATTGTTGATCGCATCATATGAGCACCTGGATTCAGCCATGTCTGAATCAGTCACCTTCTCAGGTATGTTTAAGAATAAATTCTTTCTTTTGAATAAGCCAGTTTATTGAATTTCTGTTGTTTGCAATCTCAAAGACTTCTGACCAGAATGATTGCCATGGTGGGAAGAGGTAAATCTCACAGTTGATGATATTTATGTCACTGAATTTATTTGAGGTTTTGGTATCAGTACAGTTCGTAATTCTTTCAGTAACAGGCAAATCAGTATAAATCAGCCTTATAAACAGCCATTTCACTTCCCCTGCCTTTTCTTCTTCAGCATATAGCACATTAAAATAAAATACATGATGGATTTTTATTTTCTTTGAGGATTTGAAAATTTTTCTCTTAGCAGTGCCCATTGCTTAATACAGTTAGAGAACCAAATGGGGGTTTAGGTGGGAAGGTTGGAAACTACCCAAGGGGCTAATCCTCTTAATATGTTTCATTTTGATTTTAAGTAGAAGATATATGACACGTTGAAATTTATTTTTAAAAATCTTTTCGCCCCTATCAAGAAGTTTAATAAATGTGCTAACTACAATTAATAAATAAAAGGACAGATTGTATAGATTATGAGAGCTTAGAAAACAATAATCAATGGGTAACAAATAGTAAGACATCGCTAAGAAAAAGTTACACCAAATCAAATGCATTCTTCATTTGATGACCAATGCAGCAATTTGTTCTTTGTTCTCAGAAATATTCAAGTTGATGATAGAAAATGAATCATTTGTCAGGGAGTGGTAGAAAGAACTCTGCCTCGCAATGAGAAGCTTGACTGGTTTTGAGGTTCCTTTTAATTTTCACGTCCTGATTTTATGATTCTAACTTTCTAGATGTAGCAGATAGGAACTTGCCCCCCCCAAATAATTACTATCTTATCATCAATTTAAGATGTTATCATCATCCCTTCCACTTAGCATTCATTCATGATTATCATTACATTACTTTGAATTGTGTTTATTTGAGCCAAAAATAAAATTAAATCTTGTGTTTTCCAAGAGGTATAACCACCTAAATTATTTCCAGTTTTTGCCAAAGGTAAGTTCCTGTTGCTGTTTTTATTTTAAAATCTAAGAACAGAGGATTTAGATATGAAAGAAAATTAAGAGAAACTGCAATTCTCTTTTTCTAGTTCCTGTTCTTTGTTATTCTTGGCTGTACCATTGTCATACCTTAGAAGATTGGGAAGAAATGCCATTAGTTCTTTGTTTTGTAAATATGGACTTCTTTTACTCTCTTGCTGTTATGTTTGATATATATATATATATAGATATAGATAGATAGATAGATAGATAGATAGATAGATAGATAGATAGATCTGCTTTCTATTTTTATATTATAACTCTAGTACCTTACTGATAGCTTCACTCTTCCTTTAAAATTCCTAATCTGTAAGAAGTGCCCCACAGCTAATTTGGCCACGTTGACTCCCACCTAACCTTCCTATGCTGTCTCCTGAGATTAATCAAATGGAGAAAAGGGTCAAGTTTGACAGCTCCTTTAATAAGTATGAACAATAGCTATAAGTTGAACAATTAAGCATTTATATAACCTCCTTGTAGCTTGACTTCCTGTTCTGCAGAGTCCAGAAGCTGAACTCCACATTTTCCAGACTCCCTTGCAGCCTAGGGCTCCTCATGAGATCCAGCTTCTGCCAAGCAGACATAACCACTCAAAACTCAAAGATGGACGTGAACAACATGAGCAGTGGACATGAAGGGGAGATCAGATCTCCTGGAAAGCAGGAACATCCAACTCTTCCAGGGCAGCTATGGTAGAATTTCTTGGAGTACAGTTCCTATGGTTATGATAGATGGTAATACCATGAGTGTTTTCTTCAAAACATGTCTGTGTAAGACTTCTGTATTTCTCAAGGCTGCTTTGTTCCTTGCTTTGTAGCAGTCACCCCAGCCTGCTTCTCTGGCCCTCCTGAAGATTCTTTAAACTACCTAGTGTTTCCTTAAACTGATTAGAGTGAATTCTGACATATAAAGTCTTTGGTAACAAAGGTGGTTTTTCAGGTGAGGGGATAGAAATCTGAGATTGACTGTCTGACTTGGTTGGATTTGAAGGCACTGAGGATCTGATTATGATCCGAGGATGGGACAGAGGTGCCTACACATTTACATGCAGTCACCAGAAGCACTGGAATGCTGCCATTACAGAGCAGAATGGAGGGACATAAGAAATATATCGTCTGTGTGGTTGACTGACTAATTCTAATTGTACTGGGGTTCTTACAGAAAGAAAAAGATAGCATCAGGGTTTTAAGTTCGTGGTTGACAGTATGGTCAGAGACCAAGAAATTACTGCAGTTGCCCTAAAGATTGTTAATCTCTTGACAGCCACATTTTTTGTGTGTGACATAGCCAAAAATGAGATGTAGAGTCTGAGCCTATGAGTCTCTGAATTATGACATCAGTGAATTTACACTCATATTAGTTCTCTGATGAGAAATTCTGGATTGCTTGGTACCCTGCCACTTCCACCCATAACTGGACTGGATATTTGGGAGGATTTAACTACAGTGAGTATCTGAACTGTCCAGTCCCACTGGGCTAACCGAGAATAATCAGCCTGGGCTGCCCTATCTGTTGAAGCTGTAACTATCATCCAGTAAGAGTCTGTGATAATCCCACCTGAGGTAAATAACTTGCATTAGATGCCAATTCTCCCTGTCTTCCTCCCTTAACCACCATTCATTGCCTTCAGACCTATAACCACAGTCATATTTCAGCATTCCCATGTTTATGAAGTTAAACTAAGAAAGAAAGACAAACACAACTATAACAGTTCTCTTATTTAGATCATCCAGAACACAGATAATATACAGGGGATCAGATTCTAAGGGTTCTAGATTAGAGAGGGAGGTAAATAATTACAGATCAGTTTGAATTAATCAACACAGCTCCACTTACCAGCGATTTTAGCTTGAGTAGCTGGTGGTCCTGTTTGTTCACTTGCTTTTCTAAAATCTGGACTTAGAAGTGGTCTACAGGAAATAAGGTTGAGATGCCAGAAATTTCTTGATATAATGTTCAGGAAAGAACCTAACGACTAAAGGAAATAAGTACGTTGAGACAAATTTTCATATGCAGTCAGCTTCCCCCCTCCCTAACTATATGTGCTAAGAGGGCCCAGAGAATACTCACTGAACCTGACATTAGGCAGTGCATTGGCAGGGGACAAGTGTCAGCAGTTTTTTAAAGTTCATTGGTTCTGTCCTCTACAGGTCAGAAATGAAGGTGAGAGAAAACCCCATTGATAATGGCTTTCTTATTTAAATGAGGTTAATTAAATCTGGACAAGCAGAGACCAAGTAGCAACATTTAACTGCTGGAGATGAGGTAGATGTGATTCCCAAAATAGGCGTCTGAATCAAATTAAGTCAGAATTGTTTGAACAGTAAGAATCTTTGAAGGTAGCTAGTTGCTCCCAAGGATTTGAGGTCATGATAGATTGTCCACG